GTTGGCCCCCTTCTTCCCTCTACTTTATAAAATGTGTTTAGTATAACACAATCCATAAGAATTTTTAAATCAATGCATAAAATGTGAGAAATTGCAATGCAAACTTGGACTTGGATAAATTGCAAAACTTTGGCCATACAGAAAATTAAATTGGATCATTCTATAAAATTATTAGCTTGGGACTCTCTTGACTTGGCCCTCGTAGCAGAGGAAAAAAATAATCTCTTTCTAGATTCTTGAAGTCCCTCTAAAATAAATCACAATAATAAATAAAACTTTATAATTTAACTTCACTTATTAGCCATAGCAAAAGGTACTACCTAACACACTAAATGTATGTTCCATTGATAGAGAACCCAATAGCATACTCTCTAACCTACCTGAATATTAAGTTTCCATTCCTCCAAAGTTCTGGGTAACTGCCCAACAACCTCATTCTTAAAGAAGTTAAATCAAGTGCATTTTTGGCTAACTGTTAATCATAAGTAAGTTCCAAAACAGAAATATCCTATCCAGTTCAGTTCTCTTAGTTGTATTGCTTCTCAACATTATTAATAAAGAATTCATTTGATGGTGGTAATTAAATACCAGCAACTGTGAATTTGTGATAACCTAAAAGTATATTATATAATTTTAATTCAGCAAAAATATTTTTGAGATTTTAAGTTCTACCAATTCATTGTTGGATGAAGACAAGTTCATGTTTTTGACACTTTATTTATAGACCCTTGGGAACTATAAAGCATTATTCTCAATAACGATGACATTTTGTTAGCACCATTTATCTAATAACTATAATACTTAGAAGCAATTTCTTGAAAAATATCAGCATAATCACCTTTTAAAAATCTTTTATTTGGTCCCCATTTATCACAAAACTTTTTCTATTTGTACAGAATTGAAAGTCTATTTACTACTCAGCCTAGAATAAAATAATGTGGGCTCTTCTGCCTATATAATAAGCATTGAAAAACGAATGTTTCTAACAAGTGTGCCATTTTAAAACATCTGTGTATTAGCAACTAGTACAGATTTCACTTAACACCTCTATAAACGACTTATATGCACTCTAAAAACCAAATAAACTTAAATAGACAATCCAATTACATTTTTAATCTCTCTTCAAGAATGTCTAATATAGCAAAGAAAAACACTTAACTTTTAAAAAATGTTGCTTCTGCCTAAGGGATCACCTCAATTCTTCTGTGAAATGAGGTGAGGTAAACATATATAAATAAATATTAATAAAATCATTAACATAGTAGCTTCTTATTTAATTTTATTATTATTATTTGAGACAGAGTCTTGCTCTGTCAGCAATGCTGGAGTACAGTGGTAGAATCACAGCTCTCTGCAGCCTTGAAGTCCTGGACTCAAGTGATCCGCCTACCTCAGCCTCCCAAGTAGTTGGTACTACAGGCATGCTCCACCACACCTGGCTAATTTTTGTTGTTTTTTTGTAGAGACAAGATCTCACTATGTCGCCCAGACTGGTCTCAAATTCCTGGACTCAAGCAATCCTCCTGCCTTGGCCTCCCAAAATACTGGGGTTACAGACATAAGCACTGTGCCTACCCAGCTTCTTATTAATATAGGTAGCATTTATATAAAGAGCAAGAAAGAAGTTAAAAATATTTATCAGAGGAAATCATAAACCTCAATATGGAGGATGCAATATGGCAGAGAGGTTCTAGAGCATGGGTTATGGTGATCAACACCTCTAGTTGAATCTCAGCTCCACTGTTTTTATATTAAATTGCATTTTCCTTGAGTGAGTTACTCAAACTCTCTAAAACTTAATTTTCTCTTCTATAAAATGGAAATCATAAGAGTACCTACCTCTTCGAGGTTTTATGAGGATTAAATGAGATTATCCATATAAAAGCACCCAGAATAGTACCTAACACAAATGTTAACCATTATTATCATCACCACTGCACTATAAATATATGTATGTGTATAATGAAAATACTTAAATTCAATTCTTCTGTGTACAAACCAGACCAATAGGCAGACCCAAGCCAGCTAGTAAACCCCTATGTTCAGATTATAGGTCTCAGCATCTATTCATTAGATCTTAAGCTGCCTCTCATTGCCAGCATATATCTCATCCTGCACAACCAAAAGAACAATCTGGTTACTCATGCTATATCACATTAATATGCAAGTTCATCACTTCAGCAGGAAAATCACAAACAAGTGGTTCATTCATGACTCATTTTATTCATAACAATCTCAAACCTGTCACCCAAAAATCAGTTTTTATAACTACCGTTAAATGAAGTAAACATATTCACATCCAAATTCATTCATTGGTATCAAAAAAAGACCTCAATATAAACAAACTGTCTGAGAGAAAATATGGTTAGCCCACCAAATGAGGATTGCTGAGAAAATGCATCATTATTTTGAAGAGAAGACGCTTAAGTCAAGAGCAAACACAATGAATTTACACAAGTGATGACCCTTGGTTTTTATGGCTGCATTCAATAACTGCACATTAGATCAGAATCTTAAAATGAAAACAGTTCCATGTAAAAGAGGAAAGTGCATCCTTAGGAAAGAATCTTATCTTTTTTGCATAATTCCTAGATAATAACAAGAAAACACTAAGATGTTATAGTGGAAAATGGATACAATTTTTTCCACTTTGGCTGAATATCTTATCAAAATAGAAAACTCCATTTTCCCTAAGGTTGGTTTATAATTAGAAATTAGATTCCTCAATAATTCAATGACCGAATTTTTTATTAAAGTTAAATGACCTTTCTAATTAAATTTTCTCCTTAATATATACGCTCTGCTAGGCAGGTGTCATCTCTACTTATAATACAGACTTTACATATGGCTTAAATGACCTTTTTCCTCTATGTTCATCCTTTGATTTGACATTCTAGCAGTTAACTAGTGGTAAAACTTTTTAAGGTACAACAAATTACTAATGTATTCTTGTGTCTGATTTTTATGCTTGTAATATCCCTATTTGTTATTCCATCTTGAAAAATATCCAAGCTTAAATATTTTACTCTGCTATATTTCTTTTTTCAAATTATCATTTCAAAAGAACATAGCTAGTAAGGGGAAATGTGTACAATTTTATTATAACATTAGAAAAAATGTTAGAATTTCAAAACCCAGAAAATAGAATTATGATATGTGCATACAGTTGGCATTAAAAGCTCTGATCACAAACAATGCATTTACATATAACATAGGCTCATCCAAGTAAATATATGGAAGATCTATAAAAATATGGTAATTTCATTTGAAATACCTACAATTTTAATCTTTTTGTTTAAAAAAACAAAAAGAGTTCAATAACTTTTAAGGTGTCATGACAAAATGCCCTGGCATTTGGAAAACCAAAAATATATTATCAAAACTCACTCTTTGGATGCCCCTTTAAATCTAGTAAATTTCATTGGCAACAAAGAAAGTAACTGTTGTATGTTTGAAATAATACATTTATCCATCACTTCACCACAAGTCTAAGATGACGTAGGCAAAATGCTTTATCTTCACTTTGCTCATTAATCAAAAAAATGATTAAAATAAGGTTTAGTGATTAAGTGAATTACTCAAGGATACAAGCCAATTGTCAGCAATTTTACCTTATTAGGTTGCTTATCTTTCTAGTTCATACAGGAAAAATAGAGAGTATCATCTGAGAGATGGAACACCATTTGAGAGAAAAGAATATGTACTTTATAAACACTAACATTTCCAAAGGAAATGTGGGAATATCCAGCTCTAAATTTTACACATCGCCAAGCACTAACAAAAAAAAGAAAAAAGGAACAGGAACAGGAACCTTCTGCATTCCAAGTCACAAATGAGCCAAAGAAAAAGAATAAAGTACAATCTCGCCAGCAATTTTTCTTGGCTACTGTACATTTCTACCTGATTTTCTACTACTAGGAAACAGATTTCACCTTTCATAACGCTTTCAAATGGGCTTTTCTGAGCAAACGTCTGCACTCTTCAGGCAAGGCCATTAAGGTAACTTAATCCCTCATGAATTGCTCAGTGGAAGAAATGCTGATTCCCAATTCAAAATTTAATTCCTTAGCTGTTTCTGTATTAAGAGTCAGGAGGAAAACCACAGCTACAATTTAGATTCAGAATGTTATCTCGAAGGCTAGCAAGACAAATAAGAGCTTAGAGAACGGAAAATTATGCTGGGGGAGGGGGCGCGGAGAGAGTGCGAGAAAGATGCTGGTCAGTTCCGAGATGATGCAGGAATGACATGGCACCTGGACACCACAAGTCCACGTCCACCCCCTGCCAAGTCTGTGCCTCGGGCTCTCTCACAGTTGCCTGGAGCTGTGAATAGGTGCACACGCAAACACACCACCTTTTATTCTTCGACTCTCCGGGAGGAGAATGGTGGGGAAGCGTCTGTGGAAAAAGCTTCACCACAACAAACGACGTCTTTCTCCTCGCACCCCGCCTCCCCAGCTAGGGGCAGGCGACGACTGTCTAGAACAGTAGACAGCTGAGAGGAACAAGAGCCCAGGCGAGAAGGAAAGCATGTCCACCTAGGGGAGGGGGCTCCGGGGATAAAGCCCCACAGCCTCACAGCAAGCCTCGCGGAGGGCGACATGAAAAGGAGGGGAGTGTTTAGCCGGGAAAACAGGAGAGGGGACTGGGAGGCGTTGGCACGCTACGCCCGGGGCTGCAGCGCACCCAGGGGGTGGGGGTCCATCCCAGGGCGGACCCCTCCCCCGACTCCCAGACTGGAGGACCTGGAGGAAATGGCTTTGTATAGCAGGATGAAAGACAGGCAGGAGGGCCACCAGCCGGGGGAAGGGGGGGGTGGCAGGGGACGGAGGATGCCCAGAGCTGAAGGACCCCGCCCGCCCCACGGACACCGTCACTCTGCCCCTCATTCCACCGCAGCGCCTAGTTCATCCTCTGGCTCCCACTGCCAGTCCACGTTCCAACTGCCCGGAGCGGGGTCGCCCCCCGCCACATCCCTACTCCGCGCCCTGCGCGCTCACCTGCCCACGAAGTTCTCGAGCACGGAGCTCTTCCCGGCGCTCTGGCCACCCACCACAGCGATCTGCGGCAGCTCCAGCAGGCAGCTCTGTCCCAGCGCCGAAAAGGCGTCCTGCAGACGGTTCACCAGCGGGATCAGCTCCTCCATCTCCCGGTTCCCCATCTTGCCTGAGCGGCCGGCGGCCAGCTGGTCCCTGCTTGCCTCTACGGCCCGGCCGGGAGTTGGGGCCGCGCTGCCCTGGCTGCTGCTGGTGCGCCGAGCTCAGCCCGCCGGGTCCTGGCGCAGACGTCGGAGCCAGCCGCCAGCCCGCCGCTCGGCTGACAGCTAACGGCCCGCAGCGCGCCTGCGCGGGCGTTCAGGGGCGTGGCCTGGCTCCGCGACGCCCCGCCCCGTGGCTGCCCCGCCCCGGGCTTCCCAGCCCACCACCCAGCCCGGCGCCCCCGGCCTCCCAGCTGCCGCCAGAAGACACCGCCTCTGCCTTCTGTGGCCAAGGCTCAGAGGCCAAGTTACAGCGCCAGGTCAAGGAATGGCGTGAAATTAGCAGCAGCCGGCAGCGTTGTTCTCTTTCAGCGACTACCAAGCCAAAGCACTATCGCGGCTAACACCACAACACGGTCACTAGCAAGAGCAGCACCGCCACCACCACCACCGGGGCACCGCTGCCAGGGTACACTTCCCAAAAGGAAATCTCCTCGGCCACGCCCTTCTCCAGAACCCGCGAGGACTCCTCCCAGGGTGACAGGCCTGTTGGAGTCTAAATTCTTCAATCTGACATCTAAGACCCTGAGTGGTCTGACCTAATTCTTCACCTGTAATGACTCATCCTCCCGAGCCCCACATAAGCACAGGTAGTGCCTGTAAGGTCTACCTGCCCCCAGACACCCCTTCAATCACTCTGGCCTGTGAGACTCTTCATGCCATTTGCCCTCCTGGTCTATCTCCTTCTACAGGGTCTATCCAGAACCAGATACTCTGGACGCATTCTATGAAATTTAGCACATTGAGAAGTGACTGTGTGTGAGGTCCTGTGCCTGATGATGGGGACAAAGTTAAATGACCATGCTTCTGTTAGCCTCCACAGAGCGTTCCTTTTTAGTCTGCTCCTCAAATACTGATGCTTCTCAGGGTTTAATATCTGGGCATTTTCTTGTCTCATGTTTATGCTCTGCCTGAGCTTTAACTCTGCGTAAAGGCTGGCGACTACAGAAATTTACATTGCTAGGCCCTGTCTCTCTTCTGCAACTTAGACTATACTCCAAGAGGGGTCCAGACCACGACCTGAGTGTCCTACAAGTACCACAGACTGAATGTATTCAAAACTGAAGTCATCTTTTGTCATCTCAACATTTAATGAACAGTTCCTTCTAATTCTAAAAAGACTTGTATTAAAATATTCATAATAACAAAAAACCCTGAAAACAACCCAAATGTCTATCAACAGGTGAATGAATAAACAAATGTGGTATGTGTATACAGTGAACTATTCTCCACATTTCTGATATAGCAACGTCGTTCAATCTCAGATACATTATGTAGAATGAAAAAGGCCAAAGAGCACATATTGTTTGATTTCATGTATGTGAAGTTCTACAACCAACAAAGCTATTCTATGGTAATAGAAATCAGAACTGTGGTTGTCTTTAAGGAGTGGAGACTTACTGTAGGAGGCATGAGGAAACTTTCTGGAGTGGTGAAAATGTCCCATGTCTTGACTGGGATGTGAGTATACATTTGTCAAAACTCCTCAAACTAAACTTTTAAGTGATGTGCATTTCACTGTAAATTACATATCAACTTTTTTTTTAAGCAGCAGAAAAAGACAAATAAACCTGAATGCATCTCCCCTGCAGTGGATCTCTATTAGAATGTCTGCCCAGGACACCTTTTCTAAGAAACACTCCACCCAATGCATGGTTGTAGCCAGAGCAGTCATGAAGATAGAAAGGAATGAAGAAAATCTGAGCCCTGGCCATAGCTGTGTGCACCAAATTGGGCACCTGACTCGAGCTGTACCAATCAAAGCCCTTTCCCAGGAATATGGAATTGAGAGAGAGAGAGAGACTAGCCTTTGTCTGAGTGACTAGACCATAAATGAGGAATAACACTGGCAACTATGGTTAGTAAGATTTCACCAATAGAAGGAAAGTGCTCATCTTTAGAAAAAGAGAAAAGTAAAAGACACAAGGAGAGGAGCAGAGGGAAAAAAGACAGAAGATCCAGATGGTATTCGTATCTTCATTCTTGTTCATGTCTGTTATCCAGCTATAATCCTGATCTGAGTTCCTTGCACAACCTCCCTGTCCTCCATAAACTTATAATAAATTCTCCTCTTTGCCTAACCTAATTCAACTCAGATTTCTTTCTTACTCACAATCATCCTATAAATACGTTCTCACACTAGAGATAGTGTACTCCCTATGTCAGGGAGAAGCCTGCCCAATCCCAATCCAGAATCTGGAAGTCATTCTCACTTCATTCCTCCTTCTCTCTCCTTCATCTCCGACACCAAATTGGTATCCAAATAATACCCATTCTACCTTCCTATAACCTATTTTTTTCTCCATCTTTGCTGCCAGTGCCTCAGTCATAATTGTCATTTCTCAAACAACCATCTTCCTCTATGCTTTTCGTACATATGTACCCTGAATAGGTTTTCATTATTGTACTTGGCACATTGCATTAAGTCACTAATTTACATGTCCCTCTGTTTCACTATAATGCCGTCCCCAGAGATGCCCACATTTTAATCCCTGGAACCTGTGAATGTTACCTGAACTGGAGAATGGGATTTTGTAGATATAATTAAGGAACTTGGGATGAGAAGATTATTCTAGGTTATCCAAATGGATGCAGTCTACTCACATGACTTTTTAAAAGCAGATACCCTTTCCAATCTGCATCAGAGGGAGACAGAACTGGGGAAGAGTCCCAGAGACACATGGAGAAAGGGGACTCTAGAAAGTGGGAAAGGCAGGAAACACATTCTCACTCAGAGCCTCCAAAAAGAACATAGTCCTGATGACATGTTGATTTTAGTCCTGAGAAACATGCATCAGACTTCTTTTTTTTAAGACTCAGTCGCTGTGTCACCCAGGCTGCAGGTGCACACCACCACATCTAGCTAATTTTTTTTTTTTTTTTTTTTTTTTTTTTTTTTTTTTTTTTTTTTTT